CGCGGATTGGCTCACAATATTCGGCGATAGGCCTATTTGAAAATTCTCTAATTCTCGCGAAAATACTCAGAACATTGATAGCGTTTTCCACTGGCGCACTGAGTGCCAAAAGTTTCGTGTTCCACTGGTAATTTCATCGTCAAACACGTCAAAAGTGTAATTTGGAGTTATGTCTAAAATAAACAAATTAAATAAATTAGTATTTTTTGCTACCAAAAATAACAATATTTTTTTTTAATTCAGTTTGAATCGCGTACCGTCACTTTCCCATCGTTCGATTTGACGAATTTGATTTGAAGAATTTGAAATTTGACACTCAGTGCCCACTCAGTGCGCCAGTGGAAAACGTTATGAGTATTGAAAAGAATACATATATACTTAATAAAATCTCCTACATAATTCATTACATTTTGTCACCTTAATAGGGTGTTGAAAACAACACCCTATAACCGACTGGATGTTGAGTTCTCAACACCCTCAACACAATAGTCGCCGACCCTGCATGACACCATTGCACACGCATGTGGCCGAAAAGGCGGGAAAAGAAGAATCACTCACTGGGGTGCGTTCCAAAACTCGACTTTTGTCAACTCAAGTATCATTTTATCCTTGTGTTCACTGATAGCGTTTTCGGCCCGGCCGGGTTTGCACCAACCTGGGTTGGATTAATGGCGTTTTGCGCTCTCCTATTGGTAGAGCGTGTGACGTCAACCAATAGGAAAGATTAATCCAACCTAGGTTGGTGCAAACCTGGCCGGGCCGAAAACGCTATGAATGTAGGACAAGGATAAAAGATACTCGGAGTTGATTCAGTTTTTGAACACACCCCTGGTGGCGCCGCGTGTTCCGGCACTTGTATTTACGAATTTTAGTGCCACAAATATAAATGTAGTATATAATTTCAAAAAATAATTTCTATAATAATAAACTATTACTATAAAAAAGATAACCAAGAAAAAATGGAAGATCTTTTCTGGGTTATAAATGCAATATAATTAAGTGCAGTAGGCAGCGTTGGTTCTGCATTTTATGTTGTGAGTTTGTTCTGAAAATATATGACAGACGTATACGAGATATACCGCAAGAATAATTTAGAGATGTCTTGGGTATAATCGATATGATAGCAGTATATTCAGCATCAAAATCGAAATTTAGTTATTATATTTGATATATCTTGACAATATACAAGAAATAATATTTTTCTGAGATGTTACATTAACATTTCTGGTTTATTCGGTATAATCATAATACATTCATTATGAATATTGAATGTTAGCATGATATCGTGTGCTGTCTGGGACATTAACGTATTTATAGTAGACATGTATATTACATTATACAAATGTAACAGATATTATAATTGTAGGGGAAAGTGGGCGAATTGTGCACACCTAAGGAATATTTGTTTTCTTGGGATGGTTTTCTAATAGCGTTTTCTCTTGGCTGCACTATCGCCCACTAGTGCAACGATGGGAAGTAACTCGTTACTTGTAACGAAGTTACAGTTAGAGTTACTTTTTTTCAGTAACTGTAATTGTAACGAATTACTTTTCAGAGTCAATAACTCTTGTAACGGTAATTAATTACTTTTTGAAAGAGAAAAACTGTAACTGTAATTAATTACTTTTACAAAGTAACTTTCCCATCCCTGTGCAACACTCAGACAGTGTACCGTGTTTCCATGGCTGGTGGTAAGCGAACTCATTCGGTACCGTGTTTCCGTGGCTACGGTGTAGTACAAATTTTATGCACGAAGTGGGATTTTGCTACACCGTTTGAACGGTTGTAGACCATTTTGGATTAGTGCTGGAATTTATTTGCAACTTTTAGCTGAATATAAAAAGAATTTTTTTTTACAAAAAACATTTGTACACCATGGTGTGCACCACTCTAGTATAGTGTAGCAGGCACTGTAGCTGAGTGTAGCGCTTACACGCAACTGGTGCGGTGTGAGACTGCACCCAGTGTATCCCAAGAGAAAACGCTATAAGTTCAAAGCGATATAAGTATGAAAATAGAAACTATAAACATCTTTCTACCATTACGTATCCTTATCTTGAACAGATTTTCATTCAATAAGGTTGTATTTGGCAAAAAGGGAAAAACGGAAAAGCGAAAAAATTTCTCGCGCGTCGGGTAATTGTGCGCTAAATCAAAGTCATAAGAAAAGAATGAATTGTGGAATTTTGACATAGAAATCAGAACATACATTCATTATATTGCAATATAAATATATATTAAACATATTTTAAATGTATATTATATATATTAAGAAAAAATACAAAACTATTATAATATAATAATAATGCACATAGACAAAATGAAATGACAAAATAAAATAGTAATGCCAAAAAGAAACGAAAAAACTAGTCACTAAGTATAAGCATATTCAGGCCTTTTATCGATAAAAGCGCGTTCTGAATACGGGCCTTAGTGTTTAATTCTCGTCGGTCCGAATAAAATCTTAGTACACTGAAAAAACTAGTGTTAGTCATACAGTATATGGAAGATGGGTAATTGTACGCATTTTAAACCGCTTGTGCATAGTTGCCCGCCGCGACCTGACTCAGTACGAAATATGATTACTTCAACAATTTCTAACCAAACTTAATAAATAACAGCTCAAAAGATGCACATAATAACGTACTTTAATAACGTATACAATTAATAACGTATAAATAAACAAATTAAAAATACGGACTTACCACCTTATTTTCTGAATGCTAAAATAACAAAAAAAGATGTAATTTCACTTTTTTGTATTTCTCTGGCTAGCGATGTATTTACGTCGTATCTTTTGTAGTTATATCTTAAGAGGACGACTTCCTGCGTAAAAATTTCACCATGGTGATGTCTTCATCTATTGGAAAAGTACCAAACTAGGATGTGCACAATTACCCGCTGCGCACAGTTCCCCTACTTTCCCCTATGCATTTATAATTAATATTTAATACTGTTTCGATATAGGCTCCAACGAATAAATTCAAATAAATTGTAATAACAAGGCTAAGGAGCCAAGCCAGTTGTGAATGCTTACATGTGTATTTACAAAAGTAAAAATAAAAATAATAAAGTTGACATTTATTAATATTAAAAATTAAACATACCCGTTACGTTTCGACTTTTTTACATCAGGTCTTCTTCAATGTCACAAAATAAATTAAAATTACATACGCAATCTTCTAACGGAAAATGTGTTCTAATGTCCACCCTACCAATAGTACATCAATTTTTTTTGTCAAACGCAATGTGTTTGTACAAAGAGGTTGATGTATCTTCGGCGGTGTGAATCCATACTTGGTACCATTAAAGAAATGTTATGGGATTCTCATGCGTGTAGTATAATTTCTAACTTTTTTAGAAAGACACCGAAGAAGACCTGATGTAAAAAGGTTGAAACGTATGTTTAATTTTTAATATTAATAAATGTCAACTTTATTATTTTTATTTTTACTTTTGTAAATACACATGTAAGCATCCACAACTGGCTTGGCTCCTTTAGCCTTATTACAATTTATTTGCACTGAGAGAAAAGATATAGTATTGGTAACAAAAAAAGAGAATTATTCATAAATCCCCGATTATCATTGGATTACTTTGTTAAAATTACAAAATACAATATTTTTTTGAAAAATAAACAAAATTTTTTTATTTAACAGTACAAATTTATTTGGATACTCACGTTTTGTAAATACCAATGTAAAATTTGGTTGCCATTACAAAATAAGTATTCTTTTAGTGTAATTTCAACAAAATAATCCACTATGGTAGAGCAAGGAGTGTTTTGCGGAGCTATTAGAGATGGCGTGTCTTCTCGTAAGAGAAATTCAACATCTATAAGCCGAGACGATTAGAGACTAATCTCGTGGACTTCTCGATTCTCGCCACACCATGATCAATCATGGTAACTATTTTTTCAGAGCGATTAGTAATCTCAATTGCTCTAAATCTATATATATTTTTGCTAAGGAAATTCAAAAACGTCAAACATTATCACTCTGTAGAAAGTAAGAGATACTTATATATTATTCATTTTGTTCCGGTAACAAAATGTTCTATTTCTAATTACAAAAGATCTATAAACATCATACACAAAACAGTTTTGTACCATTAAGTGATCAGTTTAGTTAATAAATTCAACAAATTAATATTGTCGTGGTAACCAACGGTTTGATTGATTATATATCAATAAATAGTTTTTGTGTCAGCAACAAAACTTTGGTTATTGGTACAAAATATTTCAATCAGTGTGAATTTAATACTGTTTCCTTTTAATTTAATATTAAATGCCCATAGAAAATAAATATGTCTCAATGTTGGTTGATATATTGTAAAGAGAGAAAGGTTCATTATCAAGGAAGATTTACCGCATCAATTTGTTAGAATATATAGAATATGCAAAGTTTTCAATTCTTATGATTAATCTGATAGCTGCAAATAGAAGTATTTTGTGTTTTTGAACGTATTTCGTGTACTGCGCACCTTGACCAAAAAGCTACAACATTCTATGTTTTATAGATAATTATACTTTTTTGAACTTGAGACAACATATGCAGAGGATGCATATTCATGCTTATGATAAGTAGGCATTATAAGTAGGCATAATGTCTATGCAATAAAAATCGCATAAATTATTTTACGCTTCACATCGTTCTCTATAATCTTTTCTTGAATATTATTATTGTTGTGGAAAATCTATATATATTTCTTATCGTTTAATCTTACGAAGAGAACTTAGAAGATTCTATAAAGAATTTATTTTCCTTTCCTTCAGAATGGTATATTTTATGCAATATCAAAACGAATAAAAATTATGCGTAGAAACATAAAATATATATAGTACAGCAAAATATTAAATATGCAGCATTAAGAAAACATGGCGAAATGATAAGCACAAGTGCACGTTTTTTGAATTGTATTAAGATAACTCAAGGATGTAGAGATAATATGTATTTGCATAAATTGTGAAAATTCTGTTTCCTATTAGTTTAGAAGTTCGCGGCTTACTTATACGCACAGGATCGAGACAACTTCGATTCGTGAACTCACTAAGTCGTTAAACTAAGAGTTAAACTGAAAGGTAGAGTACTTACTTCTCCGTTATTAACAAGAATCCGTAAAATTGAAGAACGACAATTGTACATACATCGCATGTAGCAAATATCTACTACCGTTTAAGCATTCCGTCAAATTAGCGCCAAATTATGTGCAATTTGTAGCGATTCGCACACTTTGATTTTAAGAAAAGAAACCACTTCATTGGTGATAATAATGATTGCAAGCTCGAGAAACATAGTCTATTTAATTAAATTTTATACGAATTTTAGCGAATTGGGAATTTTTAATTTTAAACAATGGTTCAAATCACATGAATTGTGCATTATATAATTCTATATTTAACAAAATTTTTGAAATCGCCGTGCTATTGCAATTTCGCATAATCTTATTTATCTAATTGTTCTAATTACAGTTTTCGGTAATACGCATGTGTCTTTTATATTTTATGCATAGGATAAAGTCGTCTCTCACACATGGACGTCCTTTGGACGTTTCGACGCTCAGACGATGTACCAAAGATGTCCCGATGACGTCTGGCGAATGTCTTTTGGGCGTACCGCCTTCAAACGTCTAATGGACGTTGTTAGACCGTCTCGATAGGACGTAAAATGGACTTTTTATGGATGTTATTTGGACATATCCCAATAACATCCATAAAAAGTCCATTTTACGAATCGATGTCGATTCCATTGATTGCAAAATTGTATTGAAAATGAGAAAATGGTTTTAAAAATTGGAATTATATTAACTGAATTGCCGGAAAATTGTTTGAAAAATTGAAGATTTATACGATAAAATTGATATCTCTTAAACTCGATATAATAGATTAAAATATAATTAGTAAAATACACATTTCTATCCTTCATACTGTTTTTGAAGAAGGCTAACATACATTTGAAAGACGTTCTCTATTGTTATATGTAATTATTAATTGATTTCGTTTATTAATATTATATATTTGTATTTAATATATAATATAATGACCATAATTATGTAATTATTATAAAAATTAAATTGATTAATTATTTGAACTAATCTTATATACATATTTTGTACTATAATTATGATTGTATGTCCACATCATCTATGTCTACATCACTATATTGACGACTCAATAATGACAATAATAGTAATAATAATAATAATAATAATAACAATGATATTAATAATTATGATAATAATATTCAACGCTTATATGGACATATATATAGCGAACATTCCCGGGACATACAGCAGACGTCCTCTAGACATTTAATAGATGTCCTTAGGAAAAGACTTCAAAAGTCTTATTTAATTTAAAGAACATATCAAAACTCGAATTTCAAATGTATGTTCATAATGTATATAAAAAATATATTAAACACACATAATATTGAATTTTGTGATTCAGTCCCGAATATGTCTTTCGGATGTCTTATAGACATCGTATTGCAGCTAAAAGCGTCCTATGGACGTTCAGAACATTAGGATCTAACTAGGATATTTGAGGACATACAGCGAACGTCCAAAGGACGTCCATGTGTTGTGTGGGCTATTATGAAATACTGATTTTTTTAAAGGCTTATAATTTATTTAATTTACCTTCAATTTCTACCTTCATGTCAAATTTATGGGAAATATATTTAAGTTTAATAGCCAAAAGTTAGCAATCGATAATACCTATACTTTGTTGTATGTGAAATTTTTTTATCAAAAGTGCCGATTTTGATTATTCAAAAAAAAGATTTTTAATATGAGATACAAGGGTTTCCTTATATGATGTATTATCTCATAATAGGAAGCTCTCATAAAAGGAAAAAATAAAGATAAGCTTTTTGTACACACTTTTGTTATATTACATAAAACTAGGAATAAAAAATTTAAATGTTATACATAATAATTATATAATTTATCGATGTGTGTATGTGTGTGTGTGCGTGCGTGCGTGCGTGCGCGCGCGCGCGCGCGCGTATGGTAGTGTGTGTACGAGTATGTGTGTGAGAAATCTCAATAATAATAGAATCGTTATTCTTAACATATCGTTCAATAATATGCTTTAGGACAGTGCTCGGAATTAGTTGCCCATTTCGGACAGATTCCTGAGGCGACCTCCACTACTACTCGAAACTCGGCGGTCGAGCCGTCGATCGCTCACGTGACGCTGTGCCCCAAAAGCGTCGCGATACAAAAAGTATGCTGGGAGCATATCTTCCGGCAAATATTATTAAAATATTTTCTTTCCTACATGATTTTTATTTTAATAATTAAATTTTTTATTAACAAATTATGTGTATATTCTGCAATAATATAATAAGCAATAATATAGTAAATTTTAGTGGAATAGGCCTACTGGGAAACTACTTAAAAAAAAAAAAAACGCATCAACAATAGTACCTCAGAGATGATGTGGAAAGCTATTGGCTGCGTTCAGCAAAGAAAGCAGCTTTGCAACTGTTATAAAATTTTTCAATATGATTAGTCTTGCCCTTAGTTTCTCATTGGATCTAAATGTATAAACCAATCATATTCAAGAATTTTACAACAGTTGCAAAGCTGCTTTCTTTGCTGAACGCAGCCATTGTCCATATCGTAATTACAGTATTATAATAATTGCTTACTATATTATTGCTTATTATATTATTGCAGAATATACACATAAATTGTTAATAAAAAATTTAATTATTAAAATAAAAATTACGTAGAAAAGAAAATATTTTAATGATATTTGCCGGAGAGATATGCTCCCAGTATACTTTTTGTATCGCGACGCTCCTGATGGGGCACAGCGTCACGTGAGCGATCGGCGGCTCGGCCGCCGAGTTTCGAGTGGTAGTGGAGGTCGCCTCAGGAATCTACCCGTAATGGGCAATTAATTCCGAGCACTGCTTTAGGATATTGAATTGTTTAGATGCTCTCATTTTAACTATGAATACCCTGAGTATCTCATATTACGAATTCTACGCCTTGCAGTTTCACGATCACCAAACCTAATCTTTATAGTTAAACAAATCATTATATCACGTGTATTTTCCTATCAATACGATCTTACTCTATCGCTGCATGCAGACTGTATTACCCAATATTTATTTTTATATAATAAAGCAAGATTTAAAGACTAATATCTCACTAAAATTTAACAACTGCATCCAATTTCACAAATATTTTTTTACGACTACATACGTGATCTAATATGATGAATTTTCTATTAAACAGGTTTCACCCTAAGGCTGGCGTCCTATGAAGCGGAAATTTACAGCGGAACGGAACGGCGCAAACCAATTACAACTCTGCAGTCATTACTCGGCTTTCTTTTCTGCGACTGTGATTGGTCTCTCTGTTTCGTTCCGCTGTAAATTTCCGCTTATATGGGACGTCAGCTTATGAGTAAAAAGTTCATAATAGAACCAAATACATGCTCTTATTAGTTTAGCAGAAACACTGCTATCTCATATTAGCAACCTATCCCATAATAGGCGACCCCTATTCTAGACATTTCTAGACAACTTATCTACAAACTGCTAATCATTAATTCGATTAGAAATTAGCATGTCTAAATTAGCATGTGTCCACATTAAGCCAGAAATAAAATGATCGATCAATTTCGAATCAATATTGATTAACGTCGATTAATCAATCATTTCTGGCTGGTTGATTTGCTGACAAAATTGCCCAGTCCGGAAAATGTTAACTATTTGTACTATATTCTTAACTATATATATTCGCATTACAAATTTATGTTATTCCAATAAAGTTTGCCGATTTACAATAATTATCAAATCTTGGTCAGTTCTTGCCATCAATTTACTGGCAGATTATCAGCAACAATTTGTGCAACAATTTAAATTGTTAATTGTTAATTGTTATGTTTTATTGGTAGATTTATCAGATATCTGCCAATCAATAATTTGCTAACATTGAATATAATGTACAGAATTTGCATCAAATTTGCATAAAACGATGCCTTTTTATTAACAAAATTTGTTTTTAACAAACTTAACTAACTGGGGCCGTGTTCCAAAATTCACTGCCAGCGCTGAAAATCTACAGTTTACGTTACGTATACTATACATTTTCAGCATTGGCAGTGAATTTTGGAACACAGCCTGGGTATTACCGTCGCACCAAGGTTAAATGACATAAAACAGTATCGTTAAGAGAAGCATAGAAGCTTTTTGGTGTGCGCAGAAGCAATAGAGAATTCGTCACCGTCGGTTGGCCGGATGCGTGTGACGATAATCGGGCCAGTTACACAAGTCGGTCCACATACGCGAGACAATTTTGTTGCTCGTACGTGCGTTAATCCGACTCCAGTCTTTTTGCCTATAGTGAAACTATTTCCATAGGCAAGGACGATTATATATCTTAATCAAAATGAGATGAAAATAAGAAAAGTGAGCAAATTCACTAGCATATTTATAATTTAATTGGTCAACACCTAGTGAATTTCCTTATATAGTTTTGTGGTTTCCACAAAACTATATAATATTCGTCATTTCAAAATATACAATCGATCCCATAGGTCATATTAGATTGGACTGTACACATGTCTTATCAGACAAGATACGTGGACGTTATTGATTGGACAAATCAGTAACTAGATCGGAAGGACCTAACTCCTTAAAAGAGGGACTACCAGGATTCGAGCGAGCAGAACGCGATAAACTCTTTCAGAGAATACGTGGCTGGCACGATAAAGTGAAAAACGAGGCATCATGTTCGTGACCGAAGTTTTGGCGATTCTAACTGTTTTTCTTATTATTTTCATATTAGGAAGGAGAACAAAGCGTCCGCCAGGTAATTTATTTATTAATATTTTGATCTTTATGAGAGTGAATTCAAAAATAAAGATAGCACCATGTTCTGTGAAATTAAATTTTATACATATCTAATACTTAATTTTTTATTTCAATTTTTCGATTATTGGGAGAGAGAGAAAATATTTAATAATAACTAAAATATTTCTCGCGCAAAGGAAATATCTTTTATTTGTTAACATAGTAAAATTGAATGTTACACTTTGATAGAAAATGTATAAAGGAGAAATTAGAAAAGATCTGTGTTAAATTAATCGATATATTAAAACTCGAAACGCGATTGTATTAAAAATTATGATAGAGATATATAACATGTGTTCTCTTTCTATCCAAGTAATTAAATAAAATTAAAAAATTAGCATTAATTCTTACATAATTTTCTTATCCTGGTAGCAAGCTGACGTCAAAATGACGTAGCTTGCTACCTGGATATTATGGTAATTATGGATATTATGCAGAGATTTGCTAGATATACTCTAGATTTTTAATTATTAAGTTTTTAGATTTTTTTCATTTTAATATTTTATTTCATTATTATTATTTTCTTGTTGGAAAAAATTAATGGAAACGTTAATTTATAAATTCATAAAAGTAGGCATTCCACGAAAATTTTAAATAATAAGCATAAATTAAATGCCTGTAATAATTTGTGTAATCATATTATATTTATCAGAGCTGTTTTTACATAAAATATGCAAAACTTTTGTTGCATGTTATTATTATTGAGAGAGAAAAGCAGCATGTTTTTGTATAAAAATGTGTAATTAACTTTTTTCCGTCGAAAATTCATCAAAATTTTCAATTAACGGTTCAGTCTCTTTGTGTAAATTACTAAATTTATATTGTACATTGTTGACGAAATATGTATGAAATAATTTTCTACTGCGCTTTCAACAAATTTAAAACAAAGTACAAAATTGTGCGTGTTACACATTGGATGAGATAGAAGATAATTTAACGTTTGAAGATAATTCAAGGTAAACTTAAAATTGACTTCATCACAATTACAATTATAAAGAGAATGCAAAATACGGAAGATAAATACGGAAGAGATAAATACGATTAAATTTATAGATGATCGAAAACACCAAATTACCCAACAACACAAAGTATCCAAAAGAGAGACATAAGACGTCTTTGGCGCCTAAAAGACGTCTTAAAGACGTCTTATGTCTCAATGTGTTGTCTGGGTAATTTGGTGTTTTCGATCATCTATAAATTTAATCGTAAATTTATATATATAGTTAACAGGTCTGTCTAGTCTAAAATGACATATCACAAATAGAAATCGACAAATTGCCAATATATAAGCGTTATTATTTTTTCGTTGAAATCTATTTTTCAACAAATTATCTTAAACGCTTATATATTTTCATTTATTAAATGTCTCGATCTTTATTTAAAATCAATACAGAATAAAATCCGCTTAAAATAACACATCACAAATAGAAATCGGCAAATTGCCAATATGTAAATGTTACTTTTTTCCATTGAAATATATTTTTCAACAAATCATTTTAACGCTTATATATTTTTATTTATTAAATGTCTTGATTTAAAATCAATACAGAATAAAATCCACACTTTGTAATCAGAAAGCATTAAAATACAATGTTTTATATTTACAAAGAAAGTCGACGTGTTGGAAGTCAATGTATGTTTCAATGAGAGCCCGATGTATTAGGTATACTTTTTGAGAATATAAAAATAAATCGCTTTGTTAAAAATAAATCAATTACATTGCGTGATAACTACGCAAAATAATTGTTAATTGCTTTCAGTGATAAAAATAATCAATATAAAATCAGCAAATAATTTTAAAAGATAATTGTTTTTAAAGATTAGAACAAGTGGAATATATAATATGCAATAATATACGCGATATCGTTATCGCGTATATTATTGCATATTATATATTCCACTTGTTCTAATCTTTAAAAACAATTATCTTTTAAAATTATTTGCTGATTTTATATTGATTATTTTTATCACTGAAAGCAATTAACAATTATTTTGCGTAGTTATCACGCAATGTAATTGATTTATTTTTAACAAAGCGATTTATTTTTATATTCTCAAAAAGTATACATTTTCAAAAATGACGATTAGTTCGTACTAATCGTCATTTTTGAAAATTGCTAATTTTAAGAATACATTTGAGAAAAATATGAATTTTGAAGAATTCAACATAAAGAAATATTTTTTTGGAATTGTTAATATAATAGTTAAGTATCTAATTCCCACATTCAAGAAACCATAATTTTTAGGTCCCTTTCCTTGGCCGATTTTTGGAAATCGCTATTATTTAGAAAAATTAACGCGTAAATTCGGTGGGCAACACCTCGCATTTCTGGAACTCAGCAAGATATACAATAGCAACATCATAAGTTTACGTTTGGGTACCGATGATGTAATTGTTGTCACAAACAGTAAGCTTGTACACGAAGTGTGCCTTAGCGAAACCTACGACGGACGCCCGTGGAATGAGTTTACAAAATTACGAAACATGGGCATGAAAAAAGGTAAATGAGTTTACAAAATTACGAAACATGGGAATGAAAAGAGGTAACGAATCCGGTCGGAATTCGTTACATTAGTTTGAAGGTTTTATTTTGAAAATCGAGAGAGAGAGAGAGAGAGAGAGAGAGAGAGAGAGAGAGAGAGAGAGATATTTTATGTTCTTATATATTTCAATAATATAAAGAATTGTAATCTCATCAAACATATACAGATCATTGATCAATATTTTAAATATTTATGTATATATGTTTAATGAAATTATAATAAATAAATTCGATTCGCGCTATAAAGATAGAAAGCTGATAGACAGAAAGATTATAGCGAGGAGGTAACCACTAACTAAAATTTTGTCCCACAGATTACATGATTTCATTTGATTTCATACAATTTGATCTTATTACAAATAATTTTCTACACTACATATGAAATCATTTGAGGAAATAAACGATTTTATTTAATATTACGCAATGATTTCTCGCAATTGCATATGTAATTATCGGATTATACATAGAGATTTCATATGAATTTTATAATAATTTCGGGAACTCTGTCCCACGATTACATTAAGTGATTACCCCCTCGGATTATAAGAACCCTTAAAGACTCCTGATTAATCAGAAATCATTGGAATCAGGGATCACGTTGAACGACGGCGCGGAATGGAAGGAATTGCGTTCTTGGTCAGTGCGTACTCTAAGGAGCGTTGGTTTCGCCAAGCAAACAATGATGGAGCTGATCGTGGAAGAGATGACGCTCATGATGGAAAGACTGGCAAACGGTGGCGTGCAACAAATACAATCCGCATTCGCACCTGCCGTGATAAATGTCCTCTGGATGCTGATTACAGGACAGAAACCATCCGAGAATCTCCCAAGGTATGTTATACATGTGTGAAATCGTCGACGGAACAATTGAAAAATACACTTCCTCAGCGATGCGGCACTTCCGCGGATTTACTTCCGGAGAACTCGAGAAAGGAAGTTGCGATCGCGCGTTGTCTCATGATTCCGTGATTACTTGCAGGTTGCAGAAATTCCTGAAGCTGATGGAGCGTCGTGCAGAAAAGTTCGATCTTACCGGTGGTATTCTAGTCGCTTTCCCCTGGCTACGTTACATCGCGCCGGAGATGTCGGGTTACAACTTCCTTGTCAAGTTAAACAATAACCTTAAGAACTTCCTAATGGTGCGTAAGTTCGATATGTTAATTCAATTTTTCAGCTTTCTTTTAACGCGACACATATTTCGAATCTGCAGGATACTATCAATGAGCACAAGGAACTATACGTCAAGGGAAATGAAACAGACTTTATTGATTTATTCCTCCAGGAGATGTACAACAGCGTAGAGGAGCAGAGAGATAAAGTTTCTGTGTTTTCAGGTGCGTGCCCATAGTTGCTTTCTATTAACGAGCGACGTCCAGAAAACGCTTCTTCTCGCAATCTTCTCGGGTGTTCGCAAGGAAATTAACACTTCCTCCCGCGTGCCCAGCCAGTGCGTTAATGAAAGCACCGTGTACGTGAGAGAAAGCGTTCTCTTCGCGAGTCCGCTCGTCCGACATACGCGCGATCATCTCTTCTGTTCTATTCAGACGACAATCTACTTGTAACGTTGCTCGACTTCTTCATCGCCGGCATCAGCACCACAACAGCAACATTGGATAATCTCTTCTTGCAAATGGCCAATCACCAGGACGTACAACGCAAACTATACGAGGAAATCAACGACGTGATCGGTTCCCATAGGCTTCCCAAACTGGAAGATAGAATCAAGTATAACAACATAATTTTTACTTTAAATTTTAAAAGGAGCACAATATGCTTCTTTAAATTAAACAATTTCAAGTAAAAATATACAAATTTATAGACTCCTTAAATTAATACAATGAAAGTAACGGCAAAATACAACTGGGCGTTAGAAGTCAGCGCTGGATATTATATTGCGCAAAGCTATCTGATACCTATTATCGTATACGAATGTGCAAGACGATTCGACAGATCGACAGATTTTATAGTGCGATAAGCGGTAATTTTTTATTGCTGAGGATGGCTCAAATAGTAAGCCGAAACGTACAAAATTGAATTTGTGACATATTAATAGGTATCAGTTAGCTTTGCACAATATAATATCCAGCGCTGACTCCTAACACCCAGTTGTATCTTGCCGTTACTTTCTTTAAATTAATTTTTTGTAGGGGGCATTGTTTCTCTCTTATACCCAAGCAGAACAACAAGTCATTATATCAAAATGACTCCAAAATGATGATTGAAAGTCATTTTTCAATCATTTCCGATTCATTTTAATATTATTTTGACGTTATCGTGACTTTGCTTGGGTACAACTCTCCTATTCGAGAAATTACTCAAACGTTCAATTTACGTTGAATTTCAAATTGATTATATAGAATGCCCTTCACGGAAGCAATAATAACAGAGTGTCAACGTTTATTTCACGTCACACCTGTAATCGGGCCACGTCGCGTTCTTAAGGATACAATTCTCGGTAACTACAAGATACCCAAGAATACTACTGTTTTGATGAATATGTATTCAAACAATATGGATCCGGATTTTTTCCCTGACCCGACTTCATTTAGACCGGAGAGGCACATAAACGAGAATGGTGTTTATCAACAGCACGAGAATATTATACTATTCGGAAAAGGTTAGTATAAATCATACTAAATATTCCTTTAATTTAAACGTTCTTTATGAGAAACGAACTTTACGAGATTTTTACAAAAGGATAATAACAACTATGAACAACTCAGACGTCGCGAAAATTCTTTTGCGAAACGGAAGTGATTGCTTCGTTATTGATACGTGCTTAATTAAACTATTCTTGTATGCACACCGTGATGTATGTACATAATTACGATAACACTTTCTTGTTTTCTTTCCGGGTGCTTCTCGACTGAAAGGTCAGGTATATGCCTTTCACGTTAAGGAAAAAGGTGAACGATACTCTCTTAATTTAACACTCGCGCGAAATCGTTTGCCCAATGAATAATTGTGATCAAGTTGAAATCTCGTAAATCGATTTTACAATACAAAGAAAAATATATTTTTTTTTCTCTCAGGAAAAAGAAGGTGCCCCGGAGAAGCTTTGGCAAAATCGGCTACGTTTCTTTTCTTTGTCGGGATAATGCAAAAGTTTCAATTACTTCCAGAGCCAGGTAAAGGATCTATTCAAACAGAACCAAAGAGAGGACTTATACACGGACCAAAGCCTTATAAAATGTTAATTGTTCCGAGATAAGAAAACATATATTATTCACAATATCTATAAGATATGTTAAAAATTCTTAGCAATTGAAATTAATTTTATTAATTTTATCATTGACAATTATTATCGATTACGTTAGATCATAATCTTTCGTTTTTTATTACATTGTTATATTTTATTACATTTTTTGAAATATGTGTATATGTATATAAAAAAAAAGTAAAAGAAAAAATATGTATAAGCAGATTTTACACATTAATTTGCATCTGCTCTTTTTTTTCAAAAATTCTATTTTTTAAAAATAGTATTAAATCACTATGTAAAATAGTATACTGTACAAGAATTTACTGATATATAATATGTATGAATGTTATACTATGAATGTAAATATAAGCTTTACTAGTGATTAAAGTATTGCATAATAAACGCATTTTGTTATAATTTTATTACAAGACTGTTTCAATATATTTTATTACAATTTTATTACAAGATCGATTTTTCAAGCTTCTGTCTTTTCGCGTGCTGAAACAAGACACCAAGCCAAGTTCCGATATCATGTTAGATGGAGAGAAAAGTATCGGCTATACATCCATACTTAATTCCTTCAAGTGAAACACACGATGCATCTTTCTTCTATATTAGATCGCGTGAGAGCTAGTAAATTGCTAGAAATGTGCGCGGTATTTCTATTAACTTACGTTGATTTATTGATTGTCATCTACCTTTCTCATACTCTAGCATTTCAAATCGCACGAATATTAGTAAATAGTCAAAATCACATATTCTTGCTTGTTTGTCATGAAAAGTTCTATAATGCCACGTACTGAGAATAAAATATACTTTAGATGTATTTTATTAAAAATAATATTAGAAATAATTTTTAAAATTTCATTAAAAAAATATTAAAAATAATTTTTTAAATCTTTAATTTGAAAATTATATCTAATTATGAGACAATATAACTCCTGTCTAAGGAAGCACTTTCGTTCGTAGTCTCTCTGCATCTCTGTTATACGGAAAGAATGGTTTTATTTAAATAAAATTATATCGATAAGGGCTATACGAACCAAAAGAAGGTTTTATTTAAGTACTTAAAAATTTAATTAGATACAGATTTGAAAATAGCTTTGTTAGACTATCGAAGCAATTAGTAAGCAAAATTGATCTTTCTGTGTATATAAGTAGACCACGTACTGTATTATCGCTTCAAGTTAAACGCTCCAGTACTTTGTAATACTTTGTATATGGTAATTTGTAATCGACTTGCTTCGTATTATGCATAATGTGTTATGCGCATTACGTGGTCACGTATTACGCGTAGCGCGAGCTGTTTGAGACAAAAAGATCCATTTCCGTTAACTGATCTCGTACATGGCGCGGCGCGGTGGTTCGACGTTTGCGAATAACGTTTATTGATTCTATGCCGTGAAAGTTTTGCTTTTACTCGCACGTTTTACGAGTTCAACGAAATCAAGCCCCTTCGCAGAAGTCCAAATGTGCCGTCATGTGTGCTCGCGCGGGTCACGTGGGGATCATCGTCACAACTGGATCTTCTCGTGAGCTTGAGGTAATACGGTTTCGGTGACACAGTAAAACCGTCGTAGCCGTTTAGATTCGGTTTGCTGTGCTCGGCTGAGATCTCTATGTCGAAGTAATGCACAACGTAGGTAAAGAACAGGAACAACGTGGAGCGTGCCAGCTGCTCGCCCAAACAGCGTCTCTTGCCTGAAATGGGAAACAATCGCCCGCATTCACGCGATTAGTTCCAAACAATGACGAATTGATTATCTTTCGCATATCTTTGCGAAGGTTGAAAAATTTGCGTAATATAAAAAGAGAGAAAAAAAAGTGACTGGAATAGAAATGACATTTGCGTGAATAATGATTGCGAAAGTGAAACATTAACAGCTACATTTCGACGAGTTGATTGCATCTCTTGTAGCTTCCTTTATTGAAATTTACCTAAACCGAAAGGTAAACCGTAGTTGTTCCGACGGAATTGTCCCTGCTCGTCTAGAAATCGTTGCGGTCGGAATTCGTTCGGTCGTTCCCAGTACGCCTTGTCGTTGTGAGCACTATGATAGTCAAAGAGAATAACCGTATCCTACAAAATAACGATATATTGTTGTAGTTTAGGCGCATAATAAAATACAATTTTAAATGCAATATGATTTATCGGTAATTAATCGACAAACTTTGATATTTCACACGCACAGATATTTTATTTCATCTTCTTAAGGATAAACTGAAAAAAAATCAATAAAAGTACGAAATGCGTGCATAATTTATTTTAGAAATAAATATATTCCCATACAGCACAGAGGAAGGTTGACGCAATTTTGCAATATTGCAGATTACAATGTAACATTGCAGAAATACTACAAAAATGTAAATTAACAATTTGCCTGCAAAATGTCAGTAATATGCCTGTAATGTTCCACAAACATTGCAAAACTGTAATTCTTTCATTGTTACAATAATAATAATATAAAAATATAAGTTTTTGCAATATTTATATGTAGTACAGTCTTTTAGTTTGTAGTTTAACAGCCGTTTTTTTTATGATATAATAATTAATATAACCCATTTTATATTTAAATAAAAAATTTATTGATCTATTATTTGACGACTATTTCATTAGCTAAGTTTTACATTTATTTTAAATATGAAATCGAAAGATTGTATAAGATTGTATAAGATTGTATAAGTTTGGATACAGTCAATGCATCATTATCGGATAAGACGATAAGCAATTAAGCTGCTGAAAACGATTTATTGAAATATTAATTATGTGATCGATGATGTGTTTATGCCTTTCAATTGACTCTTTATGCGATTTCAATTGACTCGGAATGGTTTCGAGTTAAAAAGAATCACTGCGATTAACTTAATCTATGATTAACTTACGACAAGCGACTCTATTATTATGTTAATGTGGATAATATTTGTGTAGTTTGTTCGGGGCACACACATACATGCTTTATCCTTACGAATAAATTTATCCTTCAGAGTTAATACTACATTTATTAGAATATTATTTATGGATTATCATAAAAAATTGCTTTATTACTATAAAATTAAAATTAGTAAGATACAGTGTACAGAAAATAGTTTTCATTTCAGAGTTTTCGTAAAAAATTTATCCAAATACATAATTACATTGCAATATTGCTGGAACGTTTCGTTGTAGCAATATAATAAAAAGCGGACATCTTAACATTGTTGAAATCTTGCAGCAATGATTTAGCAATATTTCACAACTACCATGCAATATTGCAATGTTTCAGTGAAATCATTCTGCAATGTTTCTGCAATCTTTCTGTGCTGTATGGGTTGAAGAGAGAAAGAGAAAGGGACACTTTAGAAAGATTAATTCCTATTTATCGAAACTTAATTGTTAGCGTATCTATAATCAAAAACATTTATTACCTTGGGTATTCGATAACCATTTAAAAAAACATCCTTTGCAGTTGTGTGAGGTACGCCGAGTGGAGCCAAAATCAGATATCTTTGTGCCTACAGTAAATATATTAATTTCGCACTTATATCGTTTACGTTGTTACTATGATAATAGGGAGTTTGTGCAATAACGTGGATTCAGATACAGTAGTGAACGCTTTCACAGAAAGTCACGTTATTCCTTTTTTAATTAGTTGTTAAAAAGAAGATAACGTGACCTTAGCATTCACGACCGTATCTGGATAAACAGTAGTGCAAAAACTTCCTATTATTTTATTTAAGCACTACGACATTATCGTTTTCTCAATTATCATTATCTATTTTTATCGATGTTTATATTGTTTTATTAGATTATATTTAATAGTTTTATTTAAACCTCTTATATTTATTATAGATACTGTATAAACACGTTAATTGAATCATCAAAGCAATTATCTTTTAATGAATATTTTTTCTGACCGCTTAAATTATTATTGAAATCAAATAAATTATTTTTTTTTAGAAAACACTCTAATAGGTTTAAAAGTTTTTTAAAATATTGAAATGTTTAAGACATCCCAATAACATTTATTGTTACAATGAGATTTTTCTTGAAAATATTAGCTGTCGAATAATTATATACTTCGTCGTGACAGGTTTGTAGGTATATAACAGTCTCTATATTTTCTGTAGTTTATATCTCTCTTTCTTACATTACCTCGGCTAAGAAAGCTTCCGTTATTGGCAAGGATGGTAAATCATCCTCAGTTGGAGCTCGTGACCTACCAACGACACTATCCAATTCAGCCTGAAGTACTCTCAACCATTCGGGATTCAGTGATAGGAAGAGAAATATATTCGCTAAAGTGTCACTGGTTGTCTTTGACCCGGCCAAGAAAAGATCAAGGCACAGTACCAATAAATTCTCACCTGCGGTGTGAAACATGCGGCGCACGTGTGTCAACAGTAATTTATTACTTACTTCTTATTTCGTAATTACGTCGCCGTACAACGTGCAAATTTACTTATTAATTTGAGAGAAGAAAAATATTTAACACGATTGTATGCTCTTTGTGTATTTATAGTTTCAATTATCGTTACAAAATACAGGCATAATTTCAAAAAGATTCGTCTTTCGAAATTATTAAATTTGCAAAAGAGAATCTCGGACAACTTCAATAATCAATTCAAGGGAATTTCGGAACAAATAAAATTTAGTATACATAAATCAGATAAGATTATTAATTTAATTAAATAATAGGCAAGAAAGCTCCTAGTTTAGGTAAGTTTGACATTGTACGGTGTATTAACAGTTAACTTACGATCAAAAACCGTATCTTCATTCTCATCGTGTTTACAAATTTCCAAAAGAAACGCATCAATCAAATCACGTGGCGGATCATTGGATAGCTTCCTCTCGTGTATCTTGATCTCCTCGTCGAGGAAACGCCACAGATTCTCTAGAATCTCCATCAGCTCTTCGTATCCTGATAGTTCCGGGATCACGAAACGTAGAAAAGGCATCTGCGAAACCACTCCACCCATGGTATCCATTAATCTAATGTAAAATATCAAAAACGATATTTAATTTTATA